CCACACATCTCAAACTGTAAACATTCAGTTTATGGGTTCAGGAAACTGCAACATTGAGAATGAAATACAAAGAAAACAGAAATATTTTTTAAAGATTTTTCGCTTTCAAACTGCATTGAGATAAAGAAGCAGATGACTTCATTCAACCACTTATTCAAGTTCATGATGCACATGGTTGTATTTCCTGAGCTTTGTTATTTCACGAGATTGTTTAGTGTTGCTTTTTCCTTGCTTTATCTGCATTTTTCATAGATAGAAATACTTTTAATTTCAGTGCTTCTTAATACAGTGATAGGTAAGAAACGTTCATGATTTTAGTGCTTGCAAAATTGAAAAATATAACCACGTCGCATTGACGGTAATGCAAAAAGTAGAAATTTTTCAAAAGATGGAAGGGGGTACTCCTCAATTTATAGCAGAATTTTATGAAATTGCGACATGAACCATATATGATGTATAGAAAAATAAAGAATAACTGAAATAATATATGTTACATGGGTAAGCTTCAAATCCATTTGTTTCATGCATTTGCGTGCATTTTCTAGCTGTATTTTTAAGCCTTATACTATTAAAAAAATACATGAACATCTCTGGATAAAATAGGATAGAATGATAGCAAAATAATTTAAATTGAAGTAGTGTACTATGTTTTGAATTTTTCTGCTAAACTAATTTTTTCTTCCAAATATCTAGTTAGGTTAGGTTATTTAATTAGGGCAAAGCCTCGAGGGCTATCTGCCTAAGGGGAGGGATGCCTTCTTGGAGGACTTTCTAAAGGAAACTAATTCATATACATGTTACACATGGAGAAAACCACGAAAACACCCATGCAGCCAGCCTGTTTGTGGGATTCAAACCTCGGACTGAACTACCAGTGTTCAGCGACTTTACCACTCGGCTGCTGGTGGGCTCCTGAAATAATAAAGAATAGTTAAAATAAAAGAATAGCTGAAATAATAAAAAATAAAGAATAGTTAAATTAAAAGAATAGCTGAAATAATAAAAAATAAAGAATAGTTAAAATAAAAGAATAGCTGAAATAATAAAATAAAGAATAGTTAAAATAAAAGAATAGCTAAAATAAAGGAATAGAAAAATAAAGAATAGTTAAAATAAAAGAATAGCTAAAATAAAGGAATAGAAAAATAAAGAATAGTTAAAATAAAAGAATAGCTAAAATAAAGGAATAGAAAAATAAAGAATAGCTAAAAATAAAGAAAAGCTGCTGAAATTTTACAGCAACAGTGGTTCTAACACCAGAAATCTTTGCACGAGGTGAAATCAGCAAACCTTGATGTTGTTTTGTGTGAGTGGTTCTGGCAGTGCAAAGTGGTGGAGTACTAATTTCAGGACCACCCCTGAGTAAAAAGGGAAAACAGATTCATGCTGATTTAAAAACAGAGAAAACCTGCGATTTCAGCAGCAGTTGGCAGAATAGATTTAAGCACAAACATAGTGCATTATCTGAAAGCCTATGAGGAAATCTTTCCGCATATAAAGATGCTGCAGAGGAAAACGGCCTGGAGCACCCTAAAATTTTAAAACAAATCTCTATCAGAAAAATGTATGAAACATGTTAAAAAAAAAGGAAATATTTTATGCTTTATTAATGAATGTCCTTTATTTTCATACATCTTTATTTTATATGTCCTTTATAGCATATGTTCTTAATGTCTTTGTTTACTTTGCTGTTTTAGTCTAGCTACTGTGGACTTTTCTGTCTTGAAATTCACAAAATCCTAAAATCTGCACAAATTCTGGTCTCAAGCATTGAGGATTTCTGGTCTTCAACTGTATAAGAGTTATTAATGTGTTTTACAATTGTGATTTTTTTTCATAAGCTGACTAGTAATCCAAAATGGGTGAGAAATCGGCTCCCATTATGAGAAATGAAACATCAGATTTTATGAATAAAATGTCACCTGAGATGGGAAGTTAAATTTAGTGGCTTAATGCTTCACATTTTAATTTGCAGTTTTGTATGTAAGAATTATTTGCTGCAAATAAGCAGTAGTAGTAATCTTCTTAGCACAGGAATACAAAAATGTATGTACCTGTGTCAGCAAGAAATTTCATCTTTGCATGTTTGTCATATATACGTAATCTGTTAGAAGTGTTAACAGCTATACCAGTATTTATGACTTGTTACAGTATACCAGCCTAATTTAGATTCCAACTGAAAAGTGCATGCAGAAATACATTTATGAGCATCAACTTTAAACTTTTGATGGCAAAAGCAATAACCGGTTTTGGCATTATTTGTGGATGAACTGCATTGCCTACTTTTTGAACGATTATGGTTATTGCATTATTTTGGATTCTGACTGTATTCTTTTCGAGACCAGTGTTCAACTTGCTTAGTGAGATTCTCTATCTGTTTGTTCATTAAGCTTAGTTTTGAAGATACCTCTACATTTTGTTGAGTATTTGATGCTGCCCAAATAGTTGGTCATATGGCATTTATAACTTCCGAAACTACAAGCTATGAGTTAAATCTGCATCAGAAGCTGATGAAACAGCTTGCATATTGGAAGGATGTCCTTGTATTCACAAGATTTTAGGAAATAGTCAAGTTTTGTTAAATGGTAATACTTTTAATCACTCATTTGCTTCAAAAAGAAACTAGTTTTTTTGTCACCTAACAGTAAATGAGAAAAGTTTACAGATTTGCTGAACTTTGGAATCTTGAATTTTATCGATTAGTCTGTTTTTTAAAGTAAGATATTTGTCCTTTTTAGGAGATGTTAAGATTATTTCTGAGATATGTGTTAAAAGTTGATGTTTCTGTGTCAAAGTTGGTGTTTGATTATTTGCTGAAATATGCAGAAATTTGATGTTATTGCTGACAACTAGGTCAAATAGAATTTCACATTGACTTAGCCTTAAAGTGATATTTGATTTTCAAATGGGAGGTATTTTCAAGGATGCTCTGTGAATTTGATCTGTTGCAATTGCTTGAATCAATGATCTGATCATTTTCAAAAGAAGCGCTGCTTCTGGGGGAAAAAATAGGGAAGAATAGAAAGTTTTATTTCATCCTCTGAGGGTAATGGCCTTCAACTGATACCTCTTTGTTCTGCTTTTGTCTGGTATTCTTATGTAACAGCCACTTGCAGAAAAATTTTTTGAAGACATATAGTTGAATTAAAAAGCACATAGTTAAGGACACACAAATCACCGAATATACACTACTGCATGCAATATCACTACACTGTTGTCATAGAATCACAAGCATTGTCAGAAGGGAGAATTAGATGCTTCTGTATTGACCTGACACCTTCAATAAAGATGGATATCTGGTTTCGGCTTATTCAGGGAAGTGGCGTTGATCCGGCATGAAGGATTTTTGAAGCCTATCTGGGAGCTGTAAAAGATGGACTTGAGTTTTCACTTTGAGATGACATTGGCTTTGGATTTGTTTATTATCTGCCATGTTAAGTCAGGCTGTACAAATGTTTCTGAGAAGTAAGAGTTTTTATCGCAGTATCCATATGTAGAGTTTCGCTAAGCAGGTGAGCTGGAAGTTTTCGAAATTTGTGCAACAAACAGTCATTCAGCTATTGGAATAGTTGCTGAAAGTTTAGCTCGATAATGCAGTTTTAAATTCTTGATCACCAATAGCAGCAACCACAGAGCGATTGATGATTTATGGGCTTGCATCTCTGAGCTTTTTGGTGTGACATCGGAGACTCACTCATGGTGACATCTATGGGTCAAACCAGAAGTGTTATATGAGAAAATTGCATGACCTTGGAGGTAGAAGTTGAGTCCATTTCATGGCAATGGAGTACTTTATCTTGTCACAAAAGAGCTCTTTGGTGGTGAATTCAAATAATTCAGTTCTTCCGAATCTGCGAGCACTAGCTGGCTCCAGGGGCACCATAGATTCATTGTTGTGTCTAATTGCATATTTTCCTAATGAATCACATTTTAAACTTAAATTGACATGAATAAGAGTATGTACCAGATCACAGAATGCAAAGGAAATTTAAGTACTAGTGAGATGTATAGTTTGTTAAAATTTAAAAATTATTTCAAATTTAAAAACTAGGATCCATTCCCTAGGATGTTTTCCAACCAAATTAAGAGTGAGCTTCTCCCTTTCTCATGAGTGTAGCTCAGTTGCCCTGGTGGCGAACACAGTGCAATATTATCAGTGATAAGACAGCTAAATGACCAATGGATATTGGCCACTCCATTGTGTCACAAAATTTTAATGATGCGCTAATGAATTTAAATAAACGGTCCATTAAGTTTTTTTTTTTTTCATTGAAACTGTTTGGACTAGCAAGAATTAATTTTTGGCAATTAAAAGTTCTTGTGATATTGTTTTCAAGGCCCGGTGGCGCAGTGGCTAGCTCATCACGCAGCAGCACCACAGGTCCGGGGTTCGATTCCCAGGCAGCTGGGCAAGGTCGACTCAGCCTTTCATCCCTTGATTTCCGTCACTTGGGTCAATAAAATGAGTACCAAGCTCACTTGGAGACTAAACACTGGGGGGGGGGAGCCTGTGACCAAGCTGACCACTTGCTCAGGGCATATGCTTACGCACCCCGGGGCCCACAGTCAAAAAGCAGATTTCGGGCACTGCAGGCCTTGGCCCATTAGGTCTGTTACGCCACTGAGTTTAGTTTGTAGATATTGTTTTCAGTTTGTTTCTTATAGCAGGAGAGAATTTGGAGTTTTTATGGATGTGTGTTTTGGCAGTAGAAAAGAGCAGATTAAATTACTCAATCAGTGTTCCTCCAACAGAATTTCTTAGAAGACTGTGTGAGAAAGAATAATTGGTATGTTTGCTTAACTTTTGCTTTGCTCAAAGTTACAGTTTTGTTAAATAAATGGATTTTTTGTTTGTTTTCATGCATAAAAGGATTCCACACATAAAAGAGTTAGATTATATAATATTTGTAATGAAAATGATGAAACATAGTATGAACATAATATACATATAACATTCAATGAAGAAAAGACTTGAAAATTGCACTGAGGAAGTTTCTTACCTGGTCCTTCTTCATCAGATAACTCATCTTCATCTAATTCATCAGCATCTTCTAAATCAATATAGTCATTCATACGATGAAAATCCTCTATAAGTGATGAAATATGTAAGATGCCATGAAAAATAAAGAAGAATAAAGCACTAATGTAATTTGTTATAGGATCTTGCTAAAGCAATTCAATCATGAGACAAAGGGATAAAAATTAAGATTTTTATATTTGTTTTCCAATCATGTCACATAATTACATATTTATTCCTTACAAAACTAGCACAAATTTTTATAATCAAGAAATTAGAAAAATAAATAATACAGTGATAATAAAGTTGTACATAATTGAATAAAATCAATAATATCCAAAGCAATAGCAATTCGATATTAAACTAAAGCTAGAAACTGAAATGTGCAAGTACATAATTCATAAACTAATGACATGCTGTTACTGGATGAGAGGAACTAGGCTAGTCCCCAGCCAGTTTTAGTAATCCTATTTTCCCCAAAAAAATTTATCTAGCATTTAGATATTCTAAAACAAAAGTAAATTCTCTCTATATTAGATTTATATAATAGTATTGTTCTAACATAGGAATTCTGACAGAAAATTATACTTTTTTTTATATGACATACCGATTTTTTTCCCATATTTCGATTCTATGACTAAAATTATGACTAAATATAATATACTAAATATTTAATTTTGTAAACTTATCGAAAAATTTAAAAATTCATTTCGGTGCACTTTTTTTCAGTTTGCATTAAGAATAATTCACTTGGCGAAATTCTTAATTTAAGCTAACATATTTTCCTTTTCCTTTCATTGAGCATGAGTGGAAAAAAAAGTGCATTGTTCATTTTTTAAAATAATTTTAACAAAGTGTAAACCACATCTGGTGTTTTATTATCGCTTATAATAAATATGCCCAATTTCAAAATGTGGCTATACATAAATTGATGTATATATTGGGAAATTGTGAAAAAAAAACTCTAATATTTTGCAGCTTTGCCTAGAAATACATCTACTTTAAGGTGATGGTAAAAATTTTATAGGTTATAATTCAAAAATGTTTTCGAAAAATTTATAAAACTTACTGAAAAATACAAATTAAAAAAAAAATCTGAAAATATATGTAAATTTTATTTAGATTGAATTTACATTTCGAACTCTGAAAGAAATCATATATTATAAAAAATATATTATAAATAATATTAATCCAGTTAAGATTGAGAGTTAATTTGAGAATAACTTTTTAAATCTTCTCAATCATTTTATAAAATTTGGCACTGGCATAACTTGAGTGTAGCTTTAATTGAAATAAACCGGTACAGATCTTTTCAGAAAGTCCAATTTCTTCAAAATACCTATATAGAATCATATATCCTAATATATATATTTCTAAGTGCCTTGAAGACTTAAAACTCAAGTTAATTTCGTCAATCGCTCAGTAGAATGGGAGATATAGAACTGTTCCAATTCCCCTCCCTCTTTTTTTTGGAAAGGTTCATTCAACTGAAGATACAATCTTTTAAAAATTTTTATATATGTTTATTAACGTAAATATCCACTCTTTTAAATGTCACTAATCATAACTTTATAAAAATTTTTTGTTATACCAAAATGCTTACAATTTTAATTTCTCCAAACTATTTTGTTTCACCTTTCTAGCCATTAGAAACAATTATGGTAGTTTTCTTTTCGTATGCCTTAGCTAGCTTTCGTATGGCTGTTTAAAGGCTGGAAGCTGATATTTAATGGGATAGAATATGTGTAAAAATCTTTTAATTGATAATTTATTTGTTTAAGTACATTGATCGTATTCAATGGAATGCATTTATTTTTTATTTGAAGCAAAATCCAGATATAGAATGGATTGCAGAATGAAAAGGAAAAACAAAGGTTACACAAAAACTTTATGTGTATACATTTCCCTCCTTCCCCATGTTTGCCAATACAAGTATTAATATTTAAGTTCTGAGTGTTCTGAAAAAAAAAATTCAATAACTGTGAGTACTTTATTTAATTATTTACTTTCCTTATTATACTATTATTAATAAACATGATATGAATTAATGTAAAAATAATAATTTTATATGTATACATACATGTAAATATTTTATTACTAATTTTTCATATTGCATATCAAGATATTAATGTTTCTTTAAATTCTAACTCATTTGAAAAATGTTTCAATAATAATTTTGAGCATTTTATATTATTTTTAGTAAATGTGACATAAATTAATTTAGAAAATAATTTGCTCTTGTTCAATTATTTTTATCATTCTAAAGTTGCTTATATGATACATTTTTATGATGTTTTTTTATACAAATAGTAATTTGATTACAAGCTGTGAAATTTTGAAAGATGATTTCAACTATTAGTTTGAGCATTTTTGCCTTTTTTGAGAATAAAATACTTGAATGTGTTAAAAAATAGTACTTGACCTTATTATGTTCTGTATCTTTTTTTATCATATCAGTTTCTTTCTTTTGTTATAAATGTGATATTTTGGTGTATGTGTGAGATACTCCTTACCCATTCAACATAAAAAATTATGCGAGTTTAATTTTACATTTTATGATTACGAAATGCTGTACAACTAATTTAATACTATTAGTTGAAGTATTGACTGTTACTAAAATTTCAAGTATGGGAGAAAATATCGCGGATTGATTTACATTTTCTGAAAAATTTCCTGTTTATTTCTGTCATGTTTAATAACTACTTTTTGGATTATATTTGTTATTATTGATTGATTTTTAATGTTGATATTTGTATAAGTCTTGGTAGATAATTACAAAGTATTTCAGCATTTCAATTTATTTAGAGGTGCTTTTAATTGTCTAATTTTATTTAATTATAAGCAAGCTTTTTTTTTTTTTTTTTTCATTTTTACTGGAAATTTTTGAACAGGGATTCAGTAAAATATATTATTTATTGTATGGTACAGTCAAAAGTCGTTAATCCGGACTCGTCGGGACTTCGGCGATTCCGGATTATCGATTTTTCTGGATTATAGATCATCAGTTTAAATCTGGTAAGATGGCATGCAAAAATTACAAAATTAAAAATATGAAACCGTAATTTATGAAATAAAGAACAATTATGATCTAAAGGGTATCAAAATTTACAAAAAGAAAAAGCTTAATATTTATTTGTTTACTTTATTAAACATTTCCTTCAATGTAAGTTGCTTCGTTTCATGTGATAATACTTTCTCTTTAATTCTATTAAACAGACATAATTTCTTGTTTAGTTACAAAGTTCCGCTGTTCAAGTCCTATAATTGCTGTGTTGAGAATACCGACTAATTTGTCAATCGAAATTTTTTCGTTTTCAATAACCTCTGGGTCACTTTCTTCACTATCGGAAGCGAATTATAATGACGAGGAACTTGATTTAAAATCATATCAAAGACGGAGTACATCGAGACGAAATACTAAACTTAGTATGGAATTATAAACCAAATAAAATAAACATCTGCTCTGAAGATAAGGAAGTGTGACAGATCAACTTCCAATCCGCGGCGTGAAATTCATAAACAGATTTCGGATTTCAAAACATACTTCGCGCTTGTAGATACAAATTACATATTAGTAAATATATATTGGAAATTCTATTTGACATAATCTTCTTCTAATCTATCATAATCTAATAATGACGTTTCTGCCCCCACCTCTGCGCAGAGCAGCGTTGAAATTGATAAACAGATTTCGGATTTCAAAACATACTTTCGCTTTGTAGTAAATATATATCGGAAATTCTATTGACATAATCGAAAGTTCAAGCTTACTTTTTATAAAATTTCTCTAACAGTCTGCAAAAAATAATAAGCCGGATCCAATTCGAAGATTAAGGAACAACGCAATCTGCACATTAACTGAATTAGATAACTTTAGCTTAGCGTATAACCTCCGTTAAACATTAACGCGCATGCGCACAACATATTCGCAGCCGTAAGGGTCTTACGCGCTCTCGTAAACGCCTGTGCGCATGCGTGAACGCGAAGCATGCGCAGAAAGTTTGTAGCTTTGAGGTCCGGATTATAGATCATTCCGGATTATGGGTGTCCGAATTAACGACTTTTGACTGTATACGATTTTTTTTCTTTTTTAAGCTTACAGAACTGTATATACTTATTGACTGAATTATTCTAGATTAAATATTTCTCAGCATATATTTTTGCAGAATTCAAATTATGAACAATCCAAGCATACAGAATTTTTACAATTTTGACTTATTTAGTGAGGGTTGAAAATACAGTACAAAGTCTGTAATCCAGACGTCCACAATCCAGAATGATCTATAATCCAGACCCTGTTACTTAATCTTCTAATTGGATCCGGCTTATTATATTTTGCAGACAGTTAGACCAATTTTATAAAAATTAAGCTTGAACTTTTGATTATGTCAAAAAGAGTTTCCAATACTGAAGCTGCCAAAGGATCTACAAAGTGAAAGCATGTTTCGATGTCCATTAAACAAAAAGTGGAATTGCTGCAAAAAATGGATAAAGGCATAAAGAAAGTGACAGAGACGTTAGTGAAAACGAAAAAAATTTCGATTGACAAGTTAGTTGGTATTCTCGACACAGCAATTACAGGATTTGAACAGCGGAAATTTGTAACTGAACAAGAAATTATGTCTGTTTATAAAATTAATCTGTTTATAGAATTAAAGAGAAAGTATTAGCACATAAAACGATTACACTGAAAGAAATGTTTAATAAAGTAAACAAATAAGTATTAAGCTTTTTTTTTTTTTGTAAATTTTGATACCCTTTAGATCACATTTCATTTTATTTCATAAATTACGGTTTCATATTTTTAATTTTATAATTTCTGAAAGCCATCTTACCAGATTAAAATTGATGATCTATAATCCGGAAAAAACCCTAATTCGGAATTGCCGAAGTCCCGACGAGTCCGGATTAAAGACTTTGCACTATATTAAGCTTTTTTTTTTGTAAATTTTGATACCCTTAGATTATAATTGTTCTTTATTTCATAAATTACAATTTCATATTTTTAACTGTATAATTTCTGCATGCCATCTTACCAGACGGATGCATCTTACCAGAGTCTGGATTACGGACTTTGTACTGGAGTCATTTTTGTAAATTATTTAAAATTAATTTATAATTTGATATAATCTTTGTCAAAGCGATTTATTTATTTGATTGAGTGAATTATTTAGGGAAAAATTTTCTGTGTTTTAGTAATACATATTAATTTGATTCTCAAGATAAGCATTTTATTTCATATTATTATATGGAATAAGTACAGAATATTTTATGAAACCAAAGGAATAAAATCATTCATTTTAATAATTGCATAATTCTTAAAAAGACTTTTTAAATGTAATTTTGCATTTGTTAATTTAAGTGAAATGATTCTGGCTCTTGGTTTCAATAATGTTCATTTCAAATAATTGTGTAAAACTTTACTAGAGAAAAATGGAAGTTGCTATTTTTAAAAATGCTTAAAATCATTATATAAAAGATCATCTACACAATTTATTTAAAAACTTTAAATTCTAATAAGCAGTAAGAAATTAATTTCATTAAAATTTTTTCTTATACATGGGTTGCGGTTTAAATTAAAAATAAAAACTAGGTAGGATTTCTATTACTTACCAAAAATTTCAATCTATAATTTTTCATTAAAATTTCAGCCTGCCTTTTGAAACAAAATGGTGTCTCCAAAAGTGTATTAATTAATATCACTTTCCTTAAAAAAACTCTGAAAATGTATGAATATTTAAAATTTTGAACTATTGCAAAATTAAAAAAATTACAGTTCCCTCGGATTGCTCTATTTAAATTCCACCCTGTGCTGATATTTCATTGCATAGCGAATAGCATTCCACAATATAGCAGTGCAGTGGGGAAACCAGTTTACATTGTCTAAGAAAGCTTTCATTCTTCTCCTAGAAGTTCTTTGCTAGTGACATGCTGTCGTAAGGGATTACAGTTTTCTCATACATCTTATTATACTGGAAAGAATAATACCAATTTTAAACCTTTCAAGTAAAATAACTAACTCATTAATTCATAAACTGTTCCTAAAACAATAATTAAAAATTAATACCAAAATTAAACTATTTATGCAATTTTGAAATTAATAGTAATGAAGTTTTTTATAAACTATTTTTATGATTATGTTCTTGATGAAATTTTATCCCATAGAACAACTGTTCTATTTGTGTTTGTTTCATATTGTTCAACAATAATTTTTCATGGGAAATTTACAGTTAAATGTAGTTTTTCTCTGGCTAAAATGACTAAAAACATTAAAATCTTTCAACAATTTATCCTTTCCTTTCAATTATAAGTATTTTCGCTTGGCATTTCGACAAAAACATAACAATTTTCTTTTTTTTTTTTTTAAATTCTTCTTTTACGGTTCATTTAAATTTCAAAATTTACATTTTTGCATTGAGTTAGCAGAAAGATTGCTCTTCGTCTCTTTAGTTGATCTGCCACTTCATGATTACAAGCATGACCAGTGCTTTCCTTGCTTTTTCGTCAGTCCATAATTATCACTTCCTTTCCATTCAAAGGTTTTTTAAGTATGGTAATGCTAAGAAGCACTTCATGAACTTTTTTATAATTCTCTGTGAACATAGTGTACCAAACCTAAAGGCAGGATTTTGAAAATGGAAAGAAGTTAAACTTTCACCTCCCATCAACTGTCATTTGAGAAGGAATTTCCACTTATTTACAATATTTTAGGGAACTTTTTTTAAGCCTAAGACATGGAAATTCTGTCATTCTAAAGTTCAATGCGGAAAAAAAAAAAAAAAAAAAAAAAAAAAATTCTGAAAACAGTGTCTTGCAGGTACAGTGACTGAGGGAGTAGAAAAATCAATGTAAAACCCGTTTTATTGAAGAACTGCATACCTGAATGATAAAGCCACAGTGCAGAATACATTTAATGGGTGAAGTATGAAAAGCTTTGACAGGTACAAGCACCAGTCACTTTCTGCCACTGAAGAATAAGTGTTTTGCCAGCCTGAGTCAAATAAGCAGCAGAGATGATTTTCATAAATGGCAGTTTTTCTATTGATTAATATGCATTTGTTTGGGTTCTTGGAAATTTGAATATAATAACAGCTGAGTTTATTAACCAATGAGTTTAAATAAGTGGCAGGTATTGTAGATATACATATTCTTTCTGTTTCCATCAAAGAAAAATTTAATAAATGAAAGAAAGAGAAAATTTTCATTATCTGTTCTCATTACTTGTTTGTCGCTATTTGTTTTGTACCATTTGGAAATTTTTTTTAACTGTTTATTTTTAATTTAGTTATTTAGTGATTTATTTAACACATTACAATTACTAAAAATAAATATCAGTCTGAAAAATTTCATTTTTAGCTGTCAATACATTTGAATTGTGAAGTGCAACAATCAGAAATTTTTTGCAGTTACTTTAGATGTTAATAAATATAAATTGGAATTTTTTCTTTTTGTGTCATTATTATTGTTTATGTATGATTCATTTTGGTTAAAAATGGCCTGTCAACTCTTTTAGGTCATTAATTTGTCCAATGTGCAATTTGAGTTTGAGATCAGTGGTTTATGTTCTTTCTCTTTTGGGATTCTGAGCTTTGAAGAAAAGCAAGAACTTACATCCAGAAGTAGGCCTTATCCCACATATTTCTAGGAGGGAAAAAAAAAGCATTATTCCTGTTATTTCAGAGTAGAATATTACTCATATTCTAACAGTTGACTACATGTCAACAGAGAAACAGACCATTTTGTTGGCCTTATATTTGTCTTGAAACAGACAAAGAAATATGGAATACCACCGGTTTGTCTGATATTAGCAATTTTCATAAAACCAGTATTCGCCATGAAAATAAACCAATTCGTATTTACCTGTGATAACAAAAGTGAAACTATTTTGGAAGAACAAAAACTGAATTTTAAATAAGCAAGCAATAGAAAATGAATGATTTGAAGCAAAAAGTTCATTCAAATAGAGGTATCACTAACGATTAATATATGCATGTTGTTCATTAACAAGACAAGAACTTTCGTTTAGAGATCATTATGAACATAAAGATTCTCTTAGTCGGAGAAAACATATCAAGTTCTAGCACTTTTAAAATACGATATTTAGAAATTCATTTACAAAATTTCCTTCCATTTAAAGCAATGCCAAACAAAATTTAAATGGTGTTATTGATAGTATTGGAGATGTAATACTGGATGGAATAAATAAAAAAATAAAGGAGGCTCTGTTTATTACAATAATGTTTGGTGAAACTACTGATATTGCAAATCTCTCTCAACTCTTTATTGGTTTTTGATTTGTGAAAGAATCTAACATTCATGAAAGGTTTCTTGGCTATATGGATGTCAGTAGCAATCACTCTGCAAATAGGTTGAGTGAACATGTTTTCAAAATGCTTTTTAATTTTCAGTGTGAGAAAAACTTCAAGAATAAGAAGATGGAGTAGGGTCATTTTCCTGTCACTTGGCTAGCAGTCAGTTATGAAACAAATGTGCCAGGATGCAATTTTCATTTGTTGCTAAGTACACAGAGTTAATCAGACCACAGAATGAGAAATGCCATCTAACTGAAACATTTGCACTCAGCAATCTATTGTGCATACAATCTTTTATGAAGCAGTTTATTACACAAGCTGTATAGTGAAGGCAACTTAATTTAAATATTGTCTCTGAAATAAGTGTTTTTAACATTTAAATATGTAGATAACTATTTATATATGATATACATATATATTTTCGAAGACATAAATAGTTATAATTTTTAAACTTCTTTATTTTTTGTGGCAAACCTTAATTTCAATTCTACTCTAGCATATTAAGGATTATTACTCTTGTTACTTTTATCATTCACAAAATCATCTTTTTGTTTTATCTAGCACCCCCCTTGATGAAACCTATGACATGCTACTGCTATGAAGAAAGAAAACAAAATATGAAAGAAGTCAAACAATATTTATGCTAGTCTTTACCAGTAATTACATAACTTTCATCCCCTTCATGCCTTCATTTCTTATTTTATGAATTAACTCTCTCATTTAGTCTTTTTACACAAATACTAAAACGTGAGGTTTCTATGGAAAGCATATTATTAGCAATTTAAGATCATAAAATAAATGACATGAAAAATAATTTACAGAACTATCATTAATATCAAAATACAACTATCGTAATTTTTATATTTATATATTATATTTGCCAGTAATTAGAGATTTGCTCAATCAAGGTTATTTGCAATGTCTTTGTGTTTGTACGTCTACATATTCTATTGATATAATTATTTTGCTTTAAACTTTGTAGTACTGATTTATTTTTTAGCTTCACTATTTGAAGATTTTTTATCCTCACAATCCAAAGGAATTTGCTAATAGATTAAAATTAGTTGTTTCAACAAGAAATAAATATATAAAGTTTTGTAGATATAAAAAGAATATTCATAAGCACAAATTATTAATCACTTCAACAATATGTGCAAATACTTTTCCTTAATATTAAAAACATTACAGAGAAGTAACTTTTCTTTTAATTTGTAACTATTTTAATAAGGCTTTTTCTTAAATTTAAGTAATACATTTTCTACTGAACAGTATTAATAAAAATCACATGGATAATAAGAGCATCAGATCAATTCTAAACTATTACTGAATGTCTGCTAACACAAATTATTATTCATCAACAAATAAATAAGCAATGATTTTAATATTACCTGTGGTAATTTTTGATTCAACACGGCAAAACATTTGAGGATCATCTCCAGCTAGATCACCATCAGGGTAAATAAAACTTGCACTGCCATCATCAGAATCCCTAGTTCCATACAGAACCTGGGATTGAAATTCATAAAGTTCTTCGCCTAAGAATTAAAGTCAGTCTTACAAAATAGTTATCATACATGTTGTTATTATTATAAAGAAAATATAGAAAAATTAAGATTTGAAAAATGTAAGGAAACACATTTTGGAAATGAAATAAAATTTCTCAAATGATGATTTTTATTATTTTTCATGCTATGTAACAGAATGTAAAGTAATCACTGCCAAAATGTTAATATTGTTATGGGCCAATGATTTAGAGAAAAATACATTATTCAAATAACAGGGGAAAGGAAAAAGCCTGATTTACAAAACATAATTTAACAACCACATTTGTTAAATTAACGTATTTTTCAAGCATGTTGATAAATTCAAACTAGGAAGTCTTCCAAAATAGTTACAATAGAAGCGACTTTTAGGTGCTACTTTGGTAGACGGTTGCACGGATTTTGGTGATTTTTTGGCGATTTGTTTTGGCGAGTAATACGACTTATGGTAAACCCATTGCTGGGTAAATTATTTATGGTAACCGATACTTTGTTGTCATTTTATTTAAAAAATAATGCGTTTTATTATGCATAAATGCCGTGTTTTAAATATTATTTATAGCTTCTAAATATTAAAAATCAATTTAATTTTGCATTTTTATTTGAAATAAAAATTTTATTGTTTATGATATTTTATGAAATTTTATGTTGTGGATGATGTAATCTATGACGTCATCTTACTTTAAAAGTAAGTGGTTTGAATATCTATAAATTTTATCTAATGTTTTAAACACTATTTATGCTATTAAATATTAAAACACAATTTAATTTTGCATTTTTTTAAATAGTTTTATTAGGTATGATTATTTAAATAATCTTAATTCTAGGCGTGATGTAATCAGCTTTCTGATTGGTTATAAAATATTTGTGCATTGCCGCGCCATTTAAAAATTTAATTCATATCTTCGAATTCCTTAAAAAATGTTTCTTTCAAAGATGAATGTTGTTGTTATTAATTTGAGACCTTATTTTGGCCAGCCTGGCTTTCCTAATCAAAGATTTATTTATAAATTCTTACAAGGGTCAGAGGAAATTTATTTTAAATTTTTGAAGGAAACCTCACTAATTGCTTCTTCAATGAAGTGCGAAAATGTAGATCAGAGATGAAGATCATTCTGAGCCGATCAAAGAGCCGATTCTGAGGACGGCCGTATATGGAATTGTGGTCACGTTGGAAGAAATAACAGCTGCAACAGTAAGAAATGTATTAGACATTCCTCCTTTTTTACCGACAATAAACTACCTGCTGTCATTTTAGCTCTAGTGTACGAGGCGTTCTTATTTACTTCTTTTAAAGTATTTAATTTAAGTAATATTTTAATTCTTTTAAACGTTGGTATGATGGTTTTTAATTCGATATTCAATTTACGTAATATTTTAATCCAGTTACCCGAGCTCCGTCACTGCGTACGGCAATGCACGTATTCCAAGGACTTTCATTCTCAGACATAAATTGTCAGTTACTTCCAAAATTTCATTTGCAGTTGATTTACAAAATAAATACTCTTCAGCGATTCGTTCAACTTCTTTGAAACGTATGTAAATTAATAACTGAACAAAGTTCGTTATATGGGTACTTTCATACAATTGCAATGCGAAATATTCACTGTGTTATATTTTTTTGAATATGTATCTCTTTTATGGAATTTGCAATCGCATGAATTCGTCGACTTGCTGTATCATTTGATAATGAAATAGTATTAAGTTCATTAGCCGCTTTTTCCTTGAAAAATGTTCCACATATTTAGCTGCTTGGTAATATAAAGTTTTCTACAATAGTGTGAGCCCGCTCAGTCTCAGCAATTCTTAGGCTTACTAGGTAAATAGCTTCCAAAGCTTTTTCCAAAACTATTTTTTAATTCTGATAATTTCCTCTTAAAATATTCTTCAGATTTATGCTTTAAATTGACATGCTTAGATTCAAGATGTTCTTTAAGAAATGATGGTTTCATATTTTGATTGAATAATAGTTCACTGCAAACAACACATTGAGGTTGAGAGTCCATTTCATCTCCCTTCCAAGTAAACCCAAATTATAAATAACTCATTATATTTTTTACAAACAATTTTCTTTTCTTTTCAATATTGTTAGCACTGGTAGATTGTCCTGGATCCTTCACAAGTGAATCATCACTTTTCCGTTTAGTCAATAAATCACAAGTGAATCATCACTTTTCTGCTCAGTCAGTCCCAGCCATTTTTCCATTTTGAAAATACAGGTTTGTTTTATTATTTTTTTCACAAATATTTAAATGCACAATATATTTATTACCAGTTCTTCAAAATCAAACGATGATATTCTCAAATCACATACAAAAGCAAGGAACACAAAGCAACAAGAAGACAAAATACCTGCTATTAGAAACAGCAAATCGGCATAAAAAATTATTCTAATTGAAAATAGAGCAATCTGAGCCCGGAAATAGTGGCGATATAAAGTGTAGACATGCTAATAAATCGATCAACTCTAAAAGAATTAATGAGTTAGTATTATCTTTCTATAGGAACTTATTTTTATTTTCTATTAAACACAACATCCCTTTCTATTACTCCTTTTAAAAACATCATTTATGACAAATTTTGTTATCAGTGAAAATAAAAATGGATATCTTGCTAAAGTCTATGAGCAGCTATTAATCTTGAACTAAGCTCATTGCATAAATTTACTAGAGTTACAGAAAAAATTTAAAAAGATGTTGGGGTATTTAATTTTTGAATTTAATAGTTAAAATATTTTTTCTTTGCATACCAGCTATTTTTCTCTTGTGTACCCACCGGTTGTGAATCGCTGATCTAGACCCTTTTACTCCACTAAAAAATCAACTAATTTGGTTCTCTGTCATTCAGACAAATTGGATTGAATATGCTCAAATGTTTAGCTCAGTACAAAGTTAAGAATTATCCACTCTATTCTCAGCATTGCAACTAATGAGAAAATACATTTTACTCAGATGTAATTTCAGATTCTTAAATGAAATAATTGAAGAACACATTTTTATGTAACAGCAACCAAAAGGATACAGTGAAATTTCTGTCAAAGTCTGTGACACTTATAGAGGCTAAAACAAGCACCACACCTACTGGAATAAATATTTTGGGAATTTCGCATTGCAGCTTGATTTTATATCAGTTGAAGACGTCCCATGCCTTTCCTTAAGAAGAAAGAGTGGAAAGAAGCTAAATGCATGTTAATGTGCCTGATCACAGAAACTGACCTAAAAGAATCTGAAAAGTTTACCAAAAGAACTAGTCTACCTATCAAATAAGCAGCGAAATACTTTCTTGAATTCGAAATTAAGCGTCTTGAAGAAAGAAGCCCCAAAATTAATCAAACAAAAAAACTAACAGTAGCATATGATACTTTTCATTTCAAATAATAAGCTGTTGCCAGAAGTTTTATATTTCAATATATTTATTTTATTTAAAACTATTTATCAAAATGGTTAAAAAAATGTGTAAACACCCTCTGTAATACTGAAAGTGTAACTGGAGGCAGAGTGAAGAGTTTGAATACCAAAGTATCACCAAAAATGTTCAATAATGCTGAAGTTAAGTGACTGTGGGGAGGCTAGACAAGATATGTTATTTCATCATTATGTTATTCGAACCATGCTTGAACACACTTCACAGTGTAAATATTAAGCATTGCTCTTTTAAAAACAAGATCACTCCCCAGACGATAAAATAGGGGCATGATGCACCAGGATGCTCCAGTAGTGATCCTCTTCTTGTGCAGAATAACAAATGAGCCAAGAGAGTGCCAACATATAGCACGGCAGTTCCCCCCTGACTTTCGAGTTAGACGGACGCTTTTCTCCTCGCTGCTGAAAGAACGACCTTGGGCGTGATTCTGAGTTCAACTCGGAGCGTGAAGAAGCTTCAGCCCCTCGCTCTGATTTTCTCTGTACTTGATTTTGAGTACTTCCTTTTGCTGTTAGGGGCTAATAGTAGGTTGGTGCTTTGGCCCCGCCTACGAGCACCGTAAAAAGACCTAGCAAACCTAACAGCACGCCCATGTGTCTGTTGTTTCTACGACCTCTGCTCTTTACCGATTGAACAATGATGGAAAAGCTCTTTGACTTTCTCGGAGTGCTAATCACGTAGTACGAAGTGAGACTTGTTGACAAGCCACTCACTTGATAAAAGGTGAGTATGGAACTACGAGTACTTCGCAGTTTCAGAGCCACACTCCACAAAATGACTCTCCAAGGATCTGAAAACACTGACGTTAAGGAAAATATACCTGCTAGTTACCAACCGGAACCTGGACAATCTATGACAAACTTGGCTGCGGAATCTATGATAGTGGATCAGACGCGGATTAGCAGTAAACGCCCGCTCAGTTCCACCATTGAATTCAATATTCGAGTCGCTAACCGATTTTCCTTTGCTGAAGAAGAAACTCCACTGGACACGGACAGTTCGGATGATGAAAATTACACAGAAATTAAGAAATCTGTCCGGAAAACTAGGCGAACGCACGGGAAACGCAGTACCCCGGCTATAAACCCAAAAGGTAAAGAAAAATCTGTGAATTCTGTTCCTCAGGAAGAGAAATTTCTGAATCCCGCCGCTCAGGAAGAAGAACCACGCGATTCGTCTGCCATGATCGACACTGCCTTTCATCAACCAATCAGTGCGGATGACCCTAACGCTGGAACACACAAGGTTGCAGCCAGTAGTCATGATAATGTGGCGCCATCTATTGGGGCTGCTGAAAAGTCAGCTCACGCGAGTATGTCTTTGGCAGAAAACGTAGCTCGACCAATCAACATTTTGGATGAGGTCATGTGCCCGGCTGAGCCAATGGACAGTGATGCTCATGAAACTCAGACTGGAGCAACCCGAACTGAGAGTCAGCTCACTTTCCCACACAGGACGGCGAAAATGCCGCCGATTTGCATTCGAGAATGCAAGTACAACTGGAAATCTTTCCCTCAACTGCTTGATAAGGAACAACTGGCCGATTTCACCGCGAAAAAGAAAGGTGAAGG